TGTTATAGGTACGTTATTTTTAAGCACATCTTTGAAAAATTTGAAAAAATGAACAATTTTTATATACAGCATAATTTTTTATTCATTAGTACAATACATAAAAAATGTTTCAAATATACACTGCCTTGTGTACCGTTAAATTTAAAAAAATCATAATTTCCTTAATTTTTATCAAATAAAAAAATACATATTTTCTTATTTTTCATATAGATTTCAAAGAAAAATGTTTCGAGAAAAAATTTTTTGAATGAAATTGTCGTATGGAATGCCCCAAATAAATGTAAATAAAATATACTTATTGGAAAAATATTTATCGGCTGAAAAAAATTTACACATCAAATAATAAAATTCCCACTTTGCAACAACACTAAAATAACTGTTTTTTTTACAAATAATTGTTTATAAAAATCCATTTTTTATTTTTATTGTGTTATAATATTATTTATCCTACTAAACGTTTTCTTTCACTACTATTTATTTCCTTCAGAATATTTTAAATGTGACGACTAACTGGTTGTGAACATGTCCGCTAGAGGCGCTGCTCTTATATTCCTAAATATTGAAATTACATAAAACTTATAAAAAAAAATTTTCAATTAAATTATGAATACTAACCAGAAAATGGTAAATTAAGGTGCCATGATTTATCCCCTAAAATAGATTTTCTAAATTTTTTTACGTTTAGAAGAAATTTTACGAAAACCAAAAAACTCATATATCGATAACTTACCATCACCATTTCATGACTGGGTCCTCAATTATAAATATTAATAAAAAATTTTTTTAAACATAATATACAATAAAGACCAGAAAAAAATATATTTTCATGCCCTTTATCATATCCTAAAATATTGTTTAAAAATTCCTTACCAATTACGAAAAATCTCACTTTTAAAATTTTTGCCAAAAATATTTTAAAAAAATTTTTTTTAAAAAAATATTTTAAAAAATACCAGAAAAAGGTAGTTAAACAATCACTTATTTATCTCCTAAAATATTTTCAAAAAATTTATTACTATTTAGGAGAAATCTTACGAAATACAATTATCGATTTTTGTAATGATTCTTAATAACATGACCTTAAGAAAAGTTTTACATTTATGAGATTACAGCTATCAAAAATATTTGCATATCTTCCAGGATGATCTTTTCGATTTATTTGTAATCCAAGGATTACATATCGAGGTTTCTCAACCTGCGTAGAAGTTTTTACAGTCCAAACATGTTTTTGAGTGGTAGGTAACAATGGATATTCATACATATCCCACGATCTGAAGCTCATAGATATAAGAGGGTCTTTTTCAATAAATTTTAATAATTCAATTTTTTGACGATCTCCAAGGAATATATATGGTATCAACCATTCCACTTTATTAATTATAATCTTAAATTGCTCATGCTCTTCAGTTGCCGTAATATCAACTATAGCATTAAGGTCTGTACGAGATCTTGTGAGGATAAGTTCATGTTTTGCATTAACAACAATCTTTCGATAGTCTTCAGCAAATCCAAAAATCATGTTTAATGGTATGTTTACATCAAAATAACCATTCTCATTGGTTATTCTAAGATCGTCATCGAATTCAAGATAGCCAGCATTTTCAGCATAAATTAATTGATTAGGTGTGTGAGAAACATAGGCTTTCATAGTGGTTGTTAGACCAACATTTTTACAGCGATCAATTTCCACTCCACTCAATTCATAACGAATCTCGTTGAATAAAAAACTAACGCTATTACTAATTAACTTTGTGTTAGTCACATTAGTATTATTAGCTTTTACTAATCTTCCTGTTACGTGTAATGTACTTTTTGAGGGTAAAATGTATTGATCTTGATTTTGAACTGGAATTCGAATTTCATCACTATTATTAAATGCTGATGAATTGTAGGGTTGGTGAGAATGAATCTCATAGTGTGCTAGAGAATCATCAAATTTAACTGGTCTAAGAATGTTTAAAATATCTTCCATTTCTTTTATAGAAACAACAGCAAATGAAAAATATTTTAATGATTAGTTTACTTTTCTTCCTTTGTTTTCTTGATAAACTCGTAGACCGAGCTGCTTTAGGAAACGTATGTTCTGAGGTGTTAGCCTTTTGCGAACTGATTGAAGACTGATTGCTTTTTGACATGGTTGCTCGTTTATATAGCTTCCACCAGTTTTTCTGTGAAATACTATACCCATTACGTTGACTTAACGTGTAATCTAATTGTTATAGTTTCACCACGAAAATTTATTAAATTTCCTTCTTGATCAACGATTCGCACTTGAATATTATGTATTGTCTTCACGGCGATTGGAAGATAAATGACTTGAGATGGTACTTCCACGATCTTATATCCAGCTGGAACAATTGGAAAAAATTCATGAATTGTATGTACTTTTTTATTGTTAATATATGCACCAGTTGTAATACTACATTCAATTCTAATAGCATTTACATTAAGAATAGCTACTGTGAAATCTGACGTATGTATTGCATTATCTTCAAGAATGCGTGCAGTGAATCCCAATAATTCACCAATTGAATCTTTATGTGTAAAATCAATTTCACGTCTAGTCATAATTTCACAACGCAAGGTATTATTATTTGGTTTAATGCTTATAACTTGCGATCCTTGTTGAATGGAATTTTGAATATATTTTTCAATATCTTCAATTTCATAGCTGCCAGTAGGTATAGTAATCACATCATTACCAAGATAAAATTTATTTTTTCCTACATCAACATTAGGAATTGAATTAAAAGTTAGAAGTTGAACAAGACCAAGAGCATAATTTTTATTTGGTAATAATTCTATTGGTAGAAAATATTCTGCTTCAAGTATAGATGATTTACCTGAAATAGTTAGAGTAAATGATTCATCCATGATGATGACTTTTTATAGACTGATTGCTCACATATGATTACATGTATTTATATAGGTTATATTTGTTAGAGAATTTGAGTTGATCGCTTAGAAATTTAAGACATAAGTGTCCACAATGAAAAGTATCATAACTTTGACAACTGTCATGATTATATTGTATCAAGGTATTATAGCCTAAATAACTGATAAGCTCAAAAGGTGGTTGAAGGTTACCAAAGCTGTCAAAATACAATGCTTTATCTTGAAGCTTTTTATAAGCAACCCAATGTGTTCCAGGACCATCCTTATTATCGAGATTAATAATGGCAGATTCATTTTTCCGAGGTCCTCCTATTGGCAACTCATTTCGCATGAATACTCCCCGAAAATGAGGAATTTTTAACTCTTTAGCGTATTTGAGCAAATCATAGTTAGTTAATGCTCGTTGAGGAAGTTTTATGAGAACTTTTTTTTTAAACATCTTTTTTTTTGCCTCATACCTAATCCTTTAGAGTAAGGTTTCAAATAAAGTCCCAATCCCTGTCGATAGGGTTTCAAGAAAAGACCTTTACCTAAAGAAACATCTTCCATTACTCTATTGTGACGATGAGCTTCTTTCAACTGCTCTTTTGCTGCATTCGCGTTGTTTACTGCTTTCACTATACTTGCTGTTCCACCAGCAAGAGCTCCAAGAGCACTGAGTCCAGCAAAAATTGGAATTAATGGTAAGAGACCACCAACTTTTGAAGGTACTGGTAGAATGCGAGGTGTTAAAATTTTACTTCTACCACCTGCTCTTCTAATAGCTTTTCGAGCATTTTCAACTGCAGCTTTGATTGTAGATTGAGTATCATTTCCCGGAATAATGGAATGTCTAGCAGCATCAACAATTTTTCTTAATACTGTTTGTTTCTGCTTCTTCTTCTTATTTTTAGATGTCTTTTTTCTTCTCATTCCCATACCTAATTTTGATTTGACCTTCATTGTACCAGATATAGCTAAAGCAGCAGCTTTTTCACCTACACTGGAATCGTTAGCTAAAACTCGTTGCCACGCCTTATCAGCTAAAATCCTATCAGCAGCGTTTCTTGCTTGAACGTTATTACGATTCTCTGAATATGCAATATCGTGCTCTTTGCAAGCTTCGTCTAATGGATTTATACCTGTATCACCTCGTGCTAAACGCTTTATCAATTTAGTACCTGGACCACAGTATTGATAACCAGGTATGTGTAATTCAAATGGTAACTTATTTATAAGACTGTTAACTAAACCTTTACCTCGGGAGCGGTGATGTATAATCATACCTCACTCTATGAAAGTTAAAAGTAGAATGACTCGTAAGCTATATAAGGGCTGTATTTATACCTTTTGCGGCAGTCTATTTCAGAATGCGATTCAAGCAACAACATCACAAGCTTCCAGTCGTGAATCTAGATGCGATTGTAGAACAGTACGATAAGAAGCAAGTGAAGCGTCATGGTAGTTTGTTGTCTGGTAATATTCGTGCAATTTTTTGTGGACCATCAAATTGTGGTAAAACAAATGTACTACTTTCTCTAATTTTACATCCAAATGGTCTGAGATTTAATAATATTTATCTCTACTCAAAATCTCTTCACCAACCAAAGTACAAATTTTTGGAAAAAGTTATAGGTAGTGTTAAGGGAATTAAATATTTACCATTTAGCGAGCATGAAGATGTAATTTCCCCAAAAGGTGCAAGGCCAAATTCTATTTTTATATTTGATGACGTAGCTTGTGAAAAGCAAGATAATATAAGAGCTTTCTTCTGCATGGGTAGACATGTCAATGTTGATTGCTTTTATCTCTGTCAGACATATGCGAGGATTCCCAAACATTTAGTAAGAGATAATGTTAATTTATTAGTTCTTTTTCGTCAGGATGAAACAAATTTAAAACATGTGTATGATGATCATGTTAATACAGACATGACATTTACCAAGTTTCGTGAGCTTTGTTCAACATGTTGGAACTCTGATAAATATGGCTTCGTAGTCATTGATAAAGACTGCAATCTGAATGAGGGGAGATATAGGAAAGGTTTTGACTGCTTCATAACACTATAAATAGAAGGTAATTAGTTCCATGAGTATTAGTCTAGTGTACATCTTTGAACTAACAACATGTTTCGTAAGGAGAAAGAGTATCTCCGCCAAATTGCCGAAGCTAGTGAGGCCATTAGACGGAAACATCGCATGTTAAAAATTGGAAAAGAAGCTGTTGAAAATGTTTTGAGTGAAACTTTTAAACCTATAGTTCAACCCTTAGAGAAAATTGTTAACCTCTCTGATGTTAAACATGAAAATCATAAGATAGAAAAGAAGGAGGAGGTAATTAAAAGTAAAGATGAATTAGATGATAGTATGAATTTTTTGAGTGCTGATGAAGATGAAACATCAGTAATTCCAGGCTTTGAATATGATAAAGTAGTTAATAAATATATATACTTGCTAGATCATAATAGAAAGCAATGTTTAGATACGTTGTACGGCGTATATAAGGTTAAAAATGGTTTTCTCAAGATTGGTGTTGCACCAATAAGTTTTAAAGATCACTTAATAAATGTTGGTGATAAACGTTTTAATATTACTTCCGGTATATTGGAACTGTTATTTAAAAATAAACCTGAAATGTCATACATTAGCGATGATGATATGAATAATTATAAACAAATTCTCATCATCTCCAATGCTCACAGAAAAAATTATAGTTCTTCTGAACCTATACGTACAAGTAAAACTTTTAAATATGTCAATATTATTTTAAAACTTTTTCCTCATAATGAAACACCAAAAAGACGATCGAAAACTGGCACTTCACTACCACATTTTATGATTGTAAAAAAAAGTTTTCAACCAGACTATATCTATTGGGATGATCCTAACGAATTGGTTGACCGTCTTCGATTGCTTATGGCATCTGAAGCAGCTGGGAATCCCAGTCACAATAATGAAATTATGTCAATCATAGAAGAATTACGTGAAGCGAAAATTATATATTGAAAATTATTGTTTCATTTAGTCAGGCTCAAGAAAAGTATATAAGGAGGTGTTCCATCAACTTTCTCTCAGTCTTAAGATGAGCATTGATGTGTTCGGACATCCTCTTAATGAAAGAGGAATTGTAAGGGTCGCAAGAGGACCTCCAGGTCCACGTAGAATTGGTTTTAAAATTAACTCAGAAGGTCACTTCGACTTACAGGGTAGAAAAATTTCCAATGTTGCTGATGCAAAAGAAAAAACTGACGTAGTTAATTTACAACTTGCACAACGTTTAGTCGAAAACGAGTTAAGACTAATATATCAAGTAACGTCTTCACTGCGAAAAGAAATTGACAATAACTATATATTATTAAAAATTCTCGAAGACTCTATAAACGAAAAAATAAAAGTCTTGGAAAGAGAAATAAATACTGATTTATCATATCGAAACGCTGAAATTATCAGTCAATTGGATGCTCGTTTGAGTACTCTAGAAAATGAACGACAAAAAGAAAACAGTAGTGACTGAACTTCATAGTCAGGCAAGGAGGAATTATCATCGCCGCCGAGTCGACATGCGTGATATTGATGAGACTTGGCAAGCAGATTTAGTAGAAATGTTACCTTATTCCAAAGTAAATAAAGGTTTTAAGTATTTACTAACAGTTATAGATATATTTTCCAAATACGCTTGGGCTGTTCCTGTAAAAAGTAAAAATGGAAAAGATGTCACTAACGCTATGAAATCCATATTCATAGAAGGACGTATTCCAAAAAATCTACATTCTGATAAAGGTAAAGAATTCTATAATTCTCAGTTTGAAGCTTTAATGAAAAAGTATAAAATTAATTTCTACTCAACATTCAGTAATTTGAAAGCATCTATTGTTGAACGATTTAATCGAACTCTAAAACGAAAAATGTGGATGCAATTCAGTCTACGTGGAAATTATAAATGGTATGATATATTACCTAAACTCATTTCCAATTATAATAACACTAAACATCGGACTATTGGAATGAAGCCGAAAGATGTTACTGCAGAAGATGTTGAGATTTTGAAAGAAAGATTTTTGAAGCTAAGAAAAATACCTTTAAAGAAAGCAAAGTTTAAAATTGGTGACAAAGTTCGAGTTAGCAAGTATAAAAGCGTGTTTGAAAAAGGTTACACTCCCAATTGGACAACAGAAATATTCACAATAGATCAAGTCTTGTCAACTAAACCTATAACTTATAAACTCAAAGACTATCAAGATCAACCCATTAGTGGAGGATTCTATGCAGAGGAACTTCTTAAAGTAAAATATGCAGATATTTATCTGGTTGAAAAAATTCTCAAGACACGTGGAAATAAAGTTCTCGTCAAATGGCTTGGCTTTGATAACTCTCACAATACTTGGGAAGAGAAAGCAAATTTATAATTTAAATCAAAATTTATTCTAATAATAAACATTGACAATGCCAAATTCAAATATTAATCTCAAAATTGAAACAAGCAGAAATCAATTTGAAACAATTATCACAAAGTGAATTTAATACTCTCTATAATGTAACTGTTGAATAAAATATAATTTAAACATTATTGTAGAACTCTAGTCGTCGAATAAGATCTTCGACAAAGTGCAACATACTTTCATGATATGCACGTTGTAATTTTACATAATTTAAGGTTAAATCAACAATGAATCAACAATGAATCAACAATGAATCAACAATGAATCAACAATGAATCAATAATGAATCAATAGTGAATCAACAATGAATCAACAATGATTTAACCTTAAATTATGTAAAATTACTACGTGCATATCATGAAAGTATGTTGCACTTTGTCGAAGATCTTATTCGAGGACTAGAGTTCTACAATAATGTTTAAATTATATTTTATTCAACAGTTACATTATAGAGAGTATTAAATTCACTTTGTGATAATTGTTTCAAATTGATTTCTGCTTGTTTCAATTTTGAGATTAATATTTGAATTTGGCATTGTCAATGTTTATTATTAGAATAAAATTATAAAAAGCAATTTTTTATTAATATTTAAATTAAATCAATTTTAATTATGAGTTATGTATATACAAGGTTTTTATAAATAAAAAAATACATAAAATTTATAATATTTTTTTACATTTATTTAACATGAAAATCCTTACATTTTATTTTACAAAAATATTTACAATTCTTCGATTTCTGGGATCCTATAGTGACCCCAGGGTAGAGTATCAGTACTCTCGGTAAGCAAGTACCTTTTATCATCATACGGATTTAATGCTACTTTAACTTGTTTAACTGTTTCTATATTATGTAACCGTGACCTAATGTTGTATTGAGTTCTAGTCTGAATCTTAAAATCACGCAAGCATTCAACGTAATCGTCAAAATGAATAGACTTTTTGACGACTCCCGCTTTAATGCCTTTAGCTTTCTTAACGAAATCTTCACCTTCAACGCGTATGCTATACATTTTACTTCGCAAGCCAACAAATTCGGTAACAATTTTACCATTGCACTCGTCCTTCATTAGGCCGAGTACTTTTTTGTTGACTTGCGGAATACCATACGCATTGTTTACCGGATAGTCAGATGTGTCGAACTTGTGGATGTCTTCTTTCATATCTTTATATATGTCTTGACATTTCACTACGTACACTAGACTGTCAGTGTCTGTGTACAACAGTTTACATGCTTTACCATATTTCGGAAGCATGTAACTGTAGTGAAAGTCATAGACAAGCGTTTTCGAGACATCCAACACACTTAAACCCACATAAATCGGTTTATTGAGTAGGACCTCAGTCTTTCGTAATTCGATGGCCACAAGGTCTTCATCGAATATTGCACGACTGTGGAAATTGGGCCGAGAGATAAGGGCTTCGGCACCATATCTGCCGAACCAGTGTGTAACCAATTTAATGTCTACATGCTTGCGAACATTTTCCATGGTCTTACCATACACTGCGTTATTCATTAATTTGAATAAATTCTTTTCAAATTCATTTTTCGCAGTTGTTCGCATGGCAGTATTATAGTCTATATAGGGTTTCAACCATTGTGATTGGTTGAATTGGAGCACCCGATGTATTTTGACTAGTTTGAGACCGTTCCCAAGAGCCTGTTTCAATGCACGATAATGCATCACGTACTTCTCTTTAGGCAGGAGAGTTGTGAGTAATTTCTCCTGCTTAGACATGAGAGGTTTTGCATTAACTGCGCAAAACGGTAAGTCTTTATGAGAATCGTGAAGGCTCTCAGGATATTCGAGATCGACTTCCAACATGTACCCGACTGAAGAGTCGTCGGGTACGTTGAAGTCAAAGGTCTCGTCTGGGTTGGCAATCCACTCGAAACCACCAATTGGTAGCGCTTGTGCCATTGCCCAACCATATAAATTATTCGCGTCAAAATACATAATATATTGGGTGTCTTGCGTAGGATCGAACTGATCCATATAGGGATTGTTCGCTTTAGCGTAACGGTTACAACACTGGCTAATACCACCTCTGATACCCGACTCAATAAACATCATCATGTCTATATCGGTTATAAGTTGCAATGTTATGCCCGTATATTTGAGCATAGCATCCCAAGTTAAACCGGGGGTAGTATAATAGTGTGCTGGATCTAACCTGTACGCGTTTAAACATTGTTCGCGAAAGTTCTCAAAGACATCGGCAAGTAATAACACGTCTGTTTTCATATAAAGGTGAACGTAATCGTTAAAGGTTTGACAATTAAATTCAGACCAGACTTTTTGCGCATGCTCATATTCACCATCGGATATACCAGCATCATAGAGAGTACTATAGAATCTCTCTTTGGCTGGTAATTCGGTGTCATCCAACTTACTTCGCGAGTCTAAATACTCGTAAGGGAAGACACCTTTTCTCGTTAATAATTTTATTTTTTCGCGATCTGTCACCGTACTGGCAAATACGGATTCAACAATTTTATATTCGTCAAGATATGACGCTAATTTTTCTAGAGATGCTGCCATGAATCTAAACGAGTCAATGAAGCGTAATTTAACCACACTCCCCTTGATATTTTTCGTAAAGGATATATATTTCTCCTTGTTCAAGGGGAGGAGGTCAACTCGGCCTTCAAAGCTCGTCGATACAGCATGAATTATAAAGTGTGCATCGTACCCACTTAAATTATGAAATACAATGGGTACAATTTGGCACTCATGATAATTCAAGTTGCATGATTCATGCGCAGCACCTCTATATTTGCCAGTAAGATGACAATGATCGCGAACCTTTTTAACATTAGCTGGTATATTCTTACGGCAAATATGGCATACGCTTGCTTTTTTAAAATCAGCAATTTGCTGAGGAGTTAAGGCATCCATAGAAATAGGATTCTTAAATACATTATCAATTTTCTCGGAAAATTGCCTTAACTCGTCAGCAAACCACTTGGCAGGATCATTTTCATGCCTCGGACACGGTACATACACGGACAATGAGTCATCGTAACTACATTTTACATAATAACCTATACTAAGCAATTTATGACGCTGGAAAATTTCAGTTTTACTTAAATTATCTGTATCTTCTTCAACGGGAAGAAGTAAACTTTCACAGTCGGCATAGATGATAAAAGGAACTTTCTCCTTATTATCATAATTTTTAAAGGTAATTTTACAATTTTCAGCATTCGGTAATTTTACGCTACATACATTCATACGTTTACATTTTTCATCGTGTACATTCAATCTTTCCGCTGATGAAAAATAGTGTAAACAACGATCACAAATATATTTTTTACATTTATGGTTAGTCAATTGTTTGGATACTAACCGCGATAAATTTTTAATCCAAACATAGTGGAAATTCATAAAATCAATATCGTTTGAATCATTGTTTACATTATCTTCATTAACACTTTCATCTATATAATAATCTACTACATGTAACAGGTTTACATGCTGATCCCTCTTCTCTGCGGTCAGATGAAGAGGGTGAACAGAGAAATTACCATATCTTTTGGTAAGACCGTATACATTTATCGAGATA